GATAATAAATCAAATCTTTTTATTTTTCCTTTTGTATTTTAAACAATGAAGAATTAAAGAGCCTGTGAATTTTTTTTTTACTTCCCACCATTTTTATTTAAAAAAAAAAAAAACAAAACAAAACTTCTGTAAATAGATTTGGATGATTATGTAACAGTAAGTTAAGCTATATTTTTTAGACTTGGCCAGACTACTAAGGCAGTAAGAATCTTCAGGCCCACATTTTGAAGAAGTTGACTAGTTGAATAGTTTGGGGAAGCAAGTTGAATAATGAAGGAATATCCTGGTTTCACTTATGCTTTCTAAGCAGCAAGACACAAAAGGTCTTCAAATGTTTGCATTTGGTTTCTCAGCAGGTAAAAGCACTTGCTGTGTAAGTATGGCAGTCTGGCCTGAGTTTGACCCACAAAATACATGTGAAGATCAATGGAGAGAATAGATTCCACTGAGTTCTCCTTGGACTTCTACCTGTGGACTCTGGCACACACACCTATACACACATCACATATACACATTATACTAATTTTTAAAGTCATTTGCCCAGAGTCATCTGTAAACTTCCTTTGGTCTGCTGTAGATGCATTAAAATGAATCAGATTATAAGCCTCTCATCCTTTTTTTTTAATCAAATATTTCTTAACCATAAAAATGTGAGTCTTACAATATAAATATTTCATATTGACTTTAGGAAATATTGCCCCAGACTGTAACACTTAAGATTAGTTGTCTACAATAGAAATATGAGCCACGTGTGTAACTTTGAATTTTCATGCCTCCCTGAGACACTCATTGTATAATCCTGGCAGGTCCTGGAATCACTATGAAGACCAGTCTGGCTGCAAACTCACAGAGAGCCACCTGTCCCTAGAGTTTGGTGATGAAAGGGATGTGCCACCACACTGTCAATAAGTTTCTACTAGTCAGATTAGAAAAAAATAAGAAGCAGGTATAATTTATGTGTTTTAACATAATTATGTCCAGAACACCATTTCAACATGTGATCAGTGTAAGAAATCATGCATAAGATATATTTTACATTCTGTTTTTATATTAAATCTTTGAAACTTGATACATACTTTATACTTAAAGCTCATCTGCTGTGAAGTAACCATATTTCAAGTACTCTGTAGCCTCATGTGACATGCACCTACTGTATCAAACAGTCTAGGTCTGCCTCGAAGGTACCTAGCTCATCAGCATGAGTATCTGTTCTCTGTTGCTCTGTTTATAAAGACTCAAGGTTCAAAAGCTGGTGTAAAAACCTGCTAGCTCAGAGAGGCTGGGTTACAATTAGCTGATTTCTCTCCATGTAGGAGTCTCTCTGCTTCCCCAAACCAGAAAAGTCTCAAAACTCCAAGCCCCACCCTATCACTTTGTGTCTGTCTCTATCCAGGTTACTGTCTGGTGCTCTATGTTTACTTTCTGACAACTAGTTGCTAATGCAGCCTCCTAACCCAAGGTTAATTTTTATTTAGTTAACACAAATGCACTTCCTCAGATCCCACAGCCTTTCCAGAAAGCTCCGTGGTGTGTTTGACCCGATCTGTCTATGTTAATTGACTTACCATCATACTCTCGATTTTGTTCTTCTACCTTTATACTCTTTTATACCCCACACATGTCTCCTTCTACTCTCCAATTCCTTCCAGTACTCTGCTGAGATTCCCAGGAGAGAGAGTATTAACAGTTTGCCCTCCTGTCTACACACACACACACACACACACACACACACACACACACACACACACACACACACACACACGAATAGAAATGTAAATGGCTCTAAATAATACCTAATACCCAAAACATGGTGAAAGTAGGCATTCTTTTTTTACAGAAAGTCTGTAATACTTGATGATAGTGGAATTTGTGTTAATGAAAAAACTCATCAGGGGTGTGAAATTTATAGACTTTCTATCTGATGTTCATGAAGTGTTGAGTAAGAATTATGGGATGTATTCGTTACTTATCTTGACACTGCTGCGATGACATACTCTTGATAAAAGCAGTTTAAAGAAGGCCTAGCATTTTTGCTCACAGTTGCAGGTTGCAGTCTGTTTTAACAGGAAGTCAGCTGGTCATATCACACCTGTGGCCTAGTAGAAAGGAGTGATGGATGAATGATCCTGCTTAGCTCGCTTTTCCCTTTTTATTTGGTCCAGGGCCCAAGCCCATTGAATGGGTCTGCCCATGTTCTGGCTGCTTCTTTCCACCTCACCATAATGTAGATCATTTCTCACATGTGTGAGAACCTTGTCACCTAGTTGATTCTATTCTGTCAGGCTGACAATACTAACCATTACATGGGGGTTTGCTACTGTTAACACTATGTTTTTAGTTTCAGAAGCCAGAGTGCTCAATAATTGAAGAGTGAGTATACGAATTCAGTTTTACTTACCAGGTTAGAACAAAGAATTTTAGTCAGTTTTTCTTGCCAAACTATCCTGCCTTTTTCTTGATAATCACTTCTTGGATTTGTATTTTCAAAGATATTTTATAGTCTGTATTTTACTTCTCACAATGCCTTATTTAACCTTAATTTGTAAATGTACAAATACATAGTGCTTTGTTTTGTTAGGCTTTTGCAAAGTAAGTGAAAATATCAATGCCAGCAATCATAAAATGAAATGAAGAAAGCAATTACATTACAATAGCATCAAAAAGAAAGTATTTAGGACCAAGTTTAACAAGAAGAAGGTATCAAATTGGTACTCTAAAATTCAAAATGGGGCCATTGAGATGGTTCTTTGAATGAAGGTACCCACAGGAGGTTAAATGACCTGAGTTGGTCCCCAGGGCCTATATGGTGGAAGGAGGGAGCCAGCTATTTCAAGGTTGTCATCTGATCCCTCTTTAGGAGCCTACATGTGTACATGTTCACACAAAATAAATATGTAATAAATTCAAAACATATCCCATTTTCATCTGTTGGAAAATCTTAGTAAGTTTATGTTCCAAATTGGACATGTGATTTCTACAGAAATTAACAAGCTGATTCTTAAATTCCTAATGAATACAATGGGCCCCAAATAATTGAAGTGATTTTGAAGAACTAAGTTGTAGTATTTCAAAACTAAATATACAGTTCTGGTGATCGCAGTGTGCCTCTGGCATAAGGCTTGGTTTTTGAATGAAGCAGTTTGCAGTCTGCACGGTTCTGAGTTGTGTAGGGTATACTTCCTAGTGTCTTCTTTCCTGCTTGTGATGACTTCTTGCCATGGTCTTCATGCAGAAAGGAGAGCCGCCTGTGGCTTGAGGACTGAGTGCCCCCCCAAAATAGATAAATAAATAAATGAATGAATGAATGACTGTTCCTTGGTATGTAGTGGAGGAGAAGGTTTATTGTAGATATGTGGGAGAGGCTAGCCAGAGGCAGGGGTATCTGGGAGAGTCCAGAGTTGACCTGACCCTGAGCCATCTGGGCAAAGTGAGGGTGAGGAGAGAGAGACCAGATACAGCAGCCAGGGGTAGGTATAAAGTGGTTGGATTCTATAGGGAAGGGCAGCCCAGCAAGTAGGGAGCCAGCTGTGCTAGCCAGGAGGGCTTTCTAACAGGTAGAAACTGAGGGATGCCAGAGAACCTGCTTGCCAGTGTCCCCTTTGATATGTTAGAGACCTCAGCAGATTGTCCCACTTTAGAACCCTAACAGGAACCATGTGGTTATCTGACACTTCGATTTCATATATACCCAGGAATAACTGACGCATGGCTCAGTTGGTACAGTCGCAGGAACAGCCTTTTCTTGATCTCTGTTTAAACGCATTTGAGCTACCATGGTGCATGACCTGTAAAAGCGGGCTATTTTTTTTTTTTTTTTTTTTTTTTTCTTTTTTTTTTTTTGTTGTTGTTGTTGTTTTGTTTTTGTTTTTTCGTATTTGTGTACCAAGCAATATGCCAAACATCTCATTTACTTTATATATATCTGTCTCTGAGGTGGAGATACTGTTATTCCCGTGTTTTTAGATATAAAACAGGATTTAGTGGAGTAATTAAACTAGAGGCACAAGAATGTCTAAATTACCTTCCCTTTCCCTTCATCCCCAATAATTTCATTAAATCTATTTTGCACTTCTTCAAAAAGAGGAGATGTATATTTGGCATTATAAATTCTCTTCTTCCTTCCTTCCTTTTTTCCTTCCTTCCTCTCTTCCTTCCTCCCTTCCTTCCCTCCCTCCCTCCCTCCTCCCATCCAAGAGGCAGTGCTTAAAGGGGCCTAGCACTTTTGCTCACTGGTGATACCATGCTGCTTTGGCTTTGCTGCTACCTCTTTTTCTGTTGCTTCCAGTTTGGGCAGTTAATAGCTTTAAAGGGTTTTTGAGTTTTCTTTTTAATAGCGGTTTCAATTCTTTTATATTAATTCTTCTATAGCCTTAGGTAGCTCTTACACTAGGGACCTTGAGTATAACTGCTACTTATATTTGTCTTAACAAATTTCTCTGTAAGCTTTCTCCTCACTTTTTAATATACAACAAAACTAGAAGTTTTTCATTCTTAAAACTTTTTGTTCACTTTGAGAAAAGAAATTATGAGGTGGGCCTGAACAATGAGCCCAGTGAAAACAAATGTTAATTCATCTCTTCAGCTATTGTCTCAGTTTCCAGGGTGTGCCATTTGTAACTCATTATATTATATTAATCCATCCTTTCTTCCTCCAGCCACTCCCTTGCCTGTACTAGATAGGTGCTGTGTCACTGAGCTCCATCCACATACCCCTGATATGACTATATATTCTCACATGATAATTGACAGAAACAAGTTTTATGCCTTGCTTATATGCTGAGATTTCCACACCTTGGCCCACATTCCACATGTACGATTATAAAGTAGGTGGTAAGCACCTGGCTGTGATTGTATTCACACTACTAATACAGAAATAATGCCAAAAGTTAAGGAATAGGAATGGGGAGATGGGAGAAGGATTGGTAATACATGGAAGCATATTTTTATAATGCCTTGATTTTTCCATCAGCAGGCACCTTACTGTGTTTATTCCTCTCTAGTTATCAGGGAATATGAAGAACAGAAAAAGCATTCAGGAGCCTAGATTTGATTACTATAGCCATGAACTTCCTGATATTGACCTCAGTGAATGTGAATTCCCACATGTCATTGAAATTTATGACTTTCCTCAAGAATTTCGTACAGAAGACCTTTTGCGAATTTTCTGCAGTTACCAGTAAGTATTTGCAAATGGTTCCAAATGATAGATAAGGTGAGAGGAAGTCATCTTAATACTTAAAGAAAAATCATGTCTTTTAAAGTTTTTTAGTTATTTATTTTAGCATCGGATTTGTGTGTTGTTCAGATCCATTAGAAAGCCTGTATGTCAGACTAGTCTTCGGTTCCCTGAAAGGGCCAAGGTAGCCTTTACAGACTTTTATAAGAATTTAGTCCATTTATATGTGTTGTTAATTATTGATGTATTTGAACTTATATCCAAGTATTCTATTATCTGAAGCCCCTTTAGTTGTAGTTTGCTCCTAGTTACAAGTGGTCTTCAGAACATTTATGCTAACTCTTGGTATGTATGTAGGTGGTATATTTTAGAAGAAGGTAAAAGAATGAGAAATATACATATATTTCTAACTTACAATAAAGAATAGACTCAGTATCAGGAAGATAATCCAGAAAGTTATTAAGAAAAAAATATCCAGGGTCTAGAAGAAAAGTCATTATCAAGGAATGTGCTTCAATATTTCAATCCTGCTATTAAAAATGAATCAAGTCCATATTTGAGGCTATAAATTTAAACTTAAAATTCAGTTTATTTATATCCCGAATGCCAAGATTATAGACATGCTCTGTCAGATTCCAACTTTACATTGAATTTTTAAGATTCTATTTAAGAGCATAGCTCCTAATTATTTTTTAAAGGATCAGAGGGTGACTATTTCAAGTGACAGCTCTGGGCTGTCTCACTAGGACAGCCAGAGACAGGATGTAAACAAATGAGTGTGGTTGAAAAAGTAAAACTTTATTTATAAAATTTATAAAAATGGCTGGCTTTGCTTTTGTTTTAAGGTAGTATCTAGGTAGCCTCAAACTCCTGATCCTCAGCTTCCAGAAGTGCCTGGGTTTACCACCACATCTGGCCCATGTCTTACTGTCAAGGAAGAATTTTAAATAAAGTGCTAGAATAGATGAAATTATCAAGCATTTATATATTTATTTTATCAGTTAAACTCCATTGGGGGGGGGGAACAACTGAAAGAAAGCAGGAGTGAATGGATTCTGGAAGACATTTAAGCTATACCATAAACCTTACTGTAAATGTGTAGTGTAGGTAAGTCATTCATTCAGTTTTGTTAAGACCCAGTGTCAGGTGCTGTTCACAGATCCTTCAGAGCATCAGTAAGACTAAATCTCAAATTTGAGCTACCTTAGATTATCATTGATAAAATTAGACTGCCATTAATAAAATAGGGGCAATTTTTGTCCATGTCTAGAACTTCCTCAGGGATTATTGGGTTTTGCTGCTATTTTTGTTTTTGAGACAGTTCCTTACTATGCAGCCTAGGCTAGCCTTGAACTCAAAAATCATCCCATCTTTGCCTCCGCAGTACTGGGTTTTAGGCATTCACACCCACACCCAGCTTAAGGACAGCTAATTCTTTTGAGTCGTTTGCTTCTCTGTGCTTGTCTCTTTCTCACCATGTGAGAGAGCATTTTCTGTGAAATCTAAAGCCATTCTCACAAGGACTTGAAAGGACTGAAGTCACAGGGATAAGGTGAGGCTTTTGGCTGTCGGTCTGTCCCATCTTTTGTAAACTGCAGCAGAGACTGACTGTTGAACTTGCTCTTCACTCCTGTGGTCAGTTGATAGCACGGTCCAGCGTACATTTTCTAACTAGGCTTTTAAGTTTCCTTTGTTACTTTTTTCTGTCAAGAAAATTAAGAAGGCAAAGCTATTTTATCATCTTTCATAATGATTTATAATTTTTTAGAGGTCATGCTGCAAAAATATAAAATAATACCTGAGTCAGATACCACAGTCAGCTTTGCTTCATCACCATCTTCATCAATATTAATCTTCTTAGTGATTATTGCTGTTAATAATAAAATTAATGAGCACCATTGTTTAAAATGTTGCCATCTGAGTGCTCATTATCATGTTCTTGGCCTGTCGTAGACAATCTCATCTCTATTTTCCTCCCCAGTGGCTAGCTTTCATAGTGCCTCAGGGTGCTAGGCAGGCTGCTAGGAGAGAAAAACTACCAGCAGTCTTACCCAGTTGTGAACCCTGTGAACTCCAGTAATGCTTCCTGCAGTTGGATATAACCATTGGTGGAATAGTAATACACATGTATTAGGGGGTGGTGGTACCCACTCTCTTTCTAACAGGAGGAATTCATGGCTGGTACTGTAAATATGACTAAGAACCTGTAGCTGGAGAAGTCAGAGACCCTAGGGGAGAACCTACTACTGTCATTTTGCTAAATTGATATAGTGACCATATAGGGTGGATTTAATCAAAATAAAATGTATTCATGTATCAAAGGAATTTTAAATATGCAATTTAAATACACACACACATACGTGTGTGTGTGTGTGTGTGTGTGTTGTAATCCTGATGTTCTTGGTGCTCAGTGTGTAGCTCTGTTCTAAAGGGGTATTAAATGTTCATTGTTTCATTCTTTTTTTAAAAAATTCTGGCTAGCTATGGTTATTCCTATCCCCCACCCACACACACACCTTATTTTCCTTCTACAAGTGTAGTAAGCATTATGAGTATAGTTGTATTTTTCATTATGTGACTTATTTTTTACAATTTGAATTATATCTTCTAGCAATGCAGTACCCACCCCAACACACGGTTTACATTTGCATGAAATCCAAGTGACCCTCCCTGACTTCTATATTCTTCTATACCTCCTCTGGCCTCCTTTTTCATCCCTTCTCATTTCTCCTCATAAGGATATCTCTTGAAAATGTGCAATAAGTACTCCAGCAGATTTGTGAGGATTAATTAGTTAGCATCTATAAAATACTCCCAGGTAATTCTTTATGATGGTATTATGGCTTTTAATTAGTGGCTTCTATGTACCAAGCTGTTTTTATGTCACTGTTCCCATTCCTCTATCTTATGAAATGCTTTGTAAGACTATTTTAAAGACATTTCATAAAACAAATTTTAAGAAATGTAAAAATTGTTTTCTCTTGTTACAGAAAGAAAGGATTTGATATTAAATGGGTAGATGACACACATGCCCTAGGAGTATTCTCCAGTCCAATCACAGGTATCCGTCTAGTGACTCAGGAATTCCAGGTCCCTCTTAAAAACTGTTTTATTTTCTCCTGCTTCTTGTTCTTATTTCTTTTCTATTCCAACCAATTAGAACTTTGCTCAGTCGCTATGTGCAGTAGAATAAGTACTGTTTTTTTGAGTTATGTGGCTTGGTACCCACATGTTCTCTCCTGCTTCTCTTTAATCCAGCACTTGGTATTGGGAAAGGTAGGCACTTCCTCCCAGGCTATTTGCACACATAACTGTCAGGCATGGTAACGATCACAGTGAGACTAAATTTTACCGTATTTTTTTTCCTTCAGAAAAATGAATTTGAAGTAGTGTATCCAGAGAGATTATTGTAGTGGCTACTCTCTGAATATTTGGTCTTTGCATACATACATATGCAGAGGAATCCACAGTAGTCAGAAGTGCTAGCTTGCTAGTTCCTGTCTGAACTATCTCTAGACCATGGATTTTCGTGGGCCAGATAGATAAAATATTTTTGGGTTTGTAAAGCCAAAATCATCTATCGTTACCTAACCCAGCCTTGTAGCGAGAAAGGCAAAAGGCTTCTGTCCTTCCCTAAACTGGTTATAGATAGCATCAGGAGAACAGCTACAGTGTGCAAATGGGCATGGCTCTGTTTAATATAGTTTTATTTGCAAGCACAAAGTCAGTTGGCTGGGTTTAGTCTCATCTCTGTTCTAAAGTGATCATTGCCCAACTTATTGTTCTCAGATGTTCTGCATTGTATGATCTCTTTTTCTTGCCATGAAAACCAACAAACATTAACTTCAAAGAATAAATGCTTTATAAGAAATAACCCTAAATTTTGTGTGTCACTTTACTTCCTTATGTCTCTTCTTCCTTGCAGCTCGTGATGCTCTGGGTATTAAACATACCATGGTGAAGATACGGCCCTTGTCACAGGCCACAAGAGCAGCCAAGGCCAAAGCTAGAGCTTGTGCTGGTGAGCCCACAGCCTCTGCCTTTGTTCTTTATTGATGGAGAAGTCACCGTTCATTGCAGCAGTTTCACAACACCCAGAGCTCAATAGACACTGTCTTTTTTATGTTACTACTTCTTCTGATATGTTTTTAAGGACAAAAAGAAAAAGTTGGAAATATGCCCTAGCTGCTTAAAGTGTGGGAGAGACTAAGGGTGAGCAGTATAGCAACCAGATTCCAGTGACATTTCAGTTGTTGATAGAGTTGCTGTAAGAAATTGTGCTAATGCAGATGGTGCAGCCAGGGCTGTTTGTACTTTGCCATACTAATGTCCTCGCATCATCATCTATCAGGGTTGTATTAATTACTGCTGATACCGCCCTTGTTAGTCTGTTTTGTATGTTAATTACTGAGTTAAATCACTTGGAGCTGTAGTGGTTTCTCTTCCTTACTGCCTCTTCCTCCTTTTTTCCCAGAGTTTCTCCAGCCAGCAAAGGAGCGACCTGAGACTTCCGCAGCCTTAGCCAGAAGGTTAGTCATCAGTGCCCTTGGGGTTCGAAGCAAGCAGAACAAAACTGAACGGGAAGCAGAGCTCAAGAAACTGCAAGAAGCCCGAGGTGAGTTGATGGTAGTGTTCTCTGAACCACAAGGGGTTCACTAGGAGGCATATGCTGAAAAAGGAAAAGAAAATGAAGTCCATTGCATCTTGTCTTTTCCATTTTCAAGAAGCCTCTCAAGTGCATAGATGTTGTTTTCAAACCTTACATTCAGGATTTGTCTCCTGTTCGTACATGAAGGCATCTAATTAATTTACTATTACTAAGAGATAGGCCCCGCCTTCTCAGCTTATTTCTGACTTTTCTACAGCTTGCTCCAAACTGAGAGAAAATTTTCCTCTGAAGACTTCACAGTCCCCCAGATCTTGTTTGTTTTGTTTTTAACTTGGTCATGACAGCGCCATGTGTAATCTGATGGCTTTGGTAGAAGGCAAGTTAAGGAAGAGTCAGCAGCTGATATTGGTGATAATGACCCTAAGAGGGATTTTTGTTTTCTTAAGACAGTCTGGAATAGATTGATCTGCCTTCTAATTTCTTTCTAATGCCTAAGAGTTTGGAAAATATTTGCACATATCTAAAAGCAGAGTTTTCCTTAGAGTTTGGGGTCAAGATTAAAATATATCTTCTCTTTATAGGCTGTCGAGTTCTTTGTAAAGACTTGGACTTGGGCTTGACACAGAAGTATTTTTTAAATCAATCTTCAAACTTTAGACAGGCTTCTTGCCTTTGCTCTCAGTACCTCTAGAATTAGTGAAGACAATTCGGAAAACTCCACTTACCAAAAAGTGACTTCATTTCCCTTAAACCAATTGAAGTCTCAGATGCCTTGTTTATTGCCAGTCTAACAAGGCCATTAATACTTCCTGTCCACTATGCTTTGGTGATAGCAGGCAGCTTTCGGACTCTCAGCTGCACTGGCCAGATAACCAGTGAGTGAGAGCATCATGGCAGGTGTTAGAGTTTTAGAACTGAACCCAACTAATTTACCTTAATGATTATAATGAGGCAATTTTGTTTTTGTTTTGTATTCTAATGCATTGTTCATTAAGAGGTTTCTTAGAAAAAGGAAAGGATTGCTTTTGTTTTTATAGATGGGAAACAACAGAACTGGATCAGAGTAGAATGTGCAGTATCCTTAATCTGTTGTTAATTGGTTATCTCTGAAGAAAATGACTCTTGGGTGTTGACTACAGTTATCTCAGAGGGTGAATAAAAGGGCTTGGGGATGTAGCGCAGTTGTAAAGCATTTGCAAGGCCCTGGGTTCAGAACTGAACAAGAGCAGGCCATAAAAGGGTGAGAGTAGAGGGTACTGACAGTGGTATCTAATGAAGATATGACTCTTTTTGCATATGCCATGCCTTTACTATAAATGCACTATCACCGGGGTCTCTCGAATCCTGCAGCTGCTGCTTTGCTTGGATAATACCTCTAGTGGCAGACACACCCACATGTTTCTCTTGCAGTGTTTGCTTTAAGTGCTTTGCTGTCTAAGAGACATTTCTATGGTGCAGTAGAGACTGTTGGCCAAGTGAACACCCTATTGCTTTTATTTGTTTTTGAGACGATTTCATTCTGTAGTCCTCACTGGCTTAGAACTTACTGTGTAGCCTAGGCTGCTTTTGAACTTGCGTCAGTCCTACCTCAATCCTGAAGTGCTGGGATTATAGATGTGAACTGCCTTGCTAGCTCTCCTGTGTTGCTTTTTTAAATGAAGAACATTTCCCTGTTATTAATTTCTCTGATTCTCACTGGCGCCTGTGCTGAACTTAGATTTGCCATCATCCTGCCTTTCTCTTCTCAGCCTCTCTGGTAACTGGGAATCCAGAAGGCTTTGGGTTATAATTAGAGACCAGGGTAGGTTCGGTCTATTACTGTGTGGGTTACAGAAGACCCTTCCTTATTCTACATCCAGGCTCTTCTATTCTTTGTGTCTGAGAAAATGAAGTTGGGGACTTTCTCTTTCTGGCATCTTTTGTATTGAGCATTCCCAAGGAGTTGTATGGAGTCCAGGCATCTCACTTAGATGTGTTTTATTCCTCTCCTTATGACTTAGAGCCCAGTGGGGACTAAAGCTCAAACCAGGGATTACTTTAAGATATTTTAATCAATCGTTTTTTCCTTCTCATACCTTCGATTTCCCACAGTGCTCTCTCTCCTGGACGAAGGGTCAGTGCAAGCCGAGCCCTCTGTCACTGAGCTAGCTGTACCCCAGCTTCTCCTCTCATTTCATTTCTGAAAAGTTTTAGTATAAGAAATGGATGTGAGGGTTTTGTTGATGGAAGGGACTGGAAGGAAACTCACAGTAGTCATTTCGATGGCACTGTCTTGATAACTATGATGCAAGATACTGTCTCCAGTTTAGAGCTGGACCCAAGAAGTTAAATCAGCCTAGGTTTCCCACCGAGGAAAGCAAGAGGAGGGTTTGAATGTAAGCCTTCCTGATTAAAGCACATACTTTTTTTCTCTGCCCTTTCAAAGGGTTTTAGGGATAACTGCTATTTTCTCTCAAGAAGAAAATATTACCTTTGTAAGTAAAAATTTTAAGTCCCCAGAGAATATACTAGAATAGTTATAGATACCAACAGCTTTGACAGAAAATTTTTCTTTAGTATGACTTAAATCTGTGTAGTAGTTTAACCTTTTTCTCCTTCCTTTTTTTCTTAGTAGAAATCTAGACCATCTGGACATCATTCTGTACTAGCACCCTTTACAGACAAGAGATGATCACTAAGTACAAGGGATGATCACTAAGGAAATAAAGAAATCTGGGCTATAGTAGAGCTATTGTCATTTAACTAGCTGTGTAGCTTTGTGCAGCTCAGTTATCACTCTTTGTCTTCTTTCCAACTAAGAGGAAGTAATGCTTGCCCTGCCAAACGATGGAAAAGTTTTTGAGCACACATAATGTGTAAAAAATGTTTAGAAAGTGCTTTACAGACTCAAGATACTGTTCTATTTTCTGTGTTGTAATATGACTTGAGTCTGTGTGTGTGTGTGTGTGTGTGTGTGTGTGTGTGTGTGATGTACTGATGCTCTCCCATTACACATAACGGATTTTGCTGATCAGTCATGGCATTCTCCCTTGGCAACTACTGACATACCCATTGCCAGTTGATCAGAATTAACATGGATCAAAATTATGCAGTATCCTGTCATAGATCCTTTCTTAATATTGTATAACAATCTGACCCTTCTTTGTGTTATGTGAAGAATTCTGTTGGCCATCATGTTATTGAGAACAAAAAAGTTATACATGTATGCTCGTTGTCTCTCTATATGAATGATGTTGGTTACTTCATAAACCTTATAGTATTTTACTCTGCTTAGAGTAAACACACCCAATCTTTTGAGTTTTTCTGTCCTACTTGGATTCTACTAACGTTTTAGTGGGACATCTCAGACCTCAGTCCTTTAAAGGGAGATTCACAGACTAAAGCTAGTTCTGAAAGAGTTGAGGAGAGGGAAGGATCAGATCAATTAAAGCCAATCGCACTGTGTATGTCAAGAGGGAAAACCCGTTAGTACGTTGTTCTTGAGCAGGAGCAGCCTCTTTTGGTACATAACAGATCAGAGCTTTACTCAGAGTGGGAAGTGGAAGCATACATATCTGTGAGTGCTTTGGACTTGACTATTTATTAATCAGGTGTTTCAACCTGTGATTCATGCTGAATCATGAAACTGCATAAGTAAAGGACTGAACACAGGAATATCTGTAAAAATTTTCCATGTTCACTATCTCAGATATTTGATTGCTGGCTAAAATTAGAAATGTATATCATTGCTTCTCAGAATAAGCTGCTCTCTCATCTTCAAAGTCAGCTATAATTACATTTCATAATTTAATTTCATTTTATTCTTAGGAGTAAATGATTAACTGGCTGGTTCTAAAAGGCCAAGATTTGGTTCATAGGGCTAAAGCAGAGGAAGTAAACCATTTATTTGATCATGGAGTTTGATTACTTAAGTCACTATGGATTTGGAATCATCTGGACAGTACTTGCTCTTTTGTAGTAAAAGAGATTTACCTATGGTAGCTAACCCAGGGAAACTTTATGTATTCCATTATTCCACCGTGCTGTATGACTGATCATAATCAGAGTTTTTCAGGGTATTTTCATGTTTTTTTCCTGCCCTTATCTATAGTTCATTTCTAACCATATTATAATTATGTGAAATTTTTTGCAGAGGTGTAATATTTACCTTTTTTTGTTGTTGCTTCAAAACCAGAGACAAAAATGTCAACAGTAGGACTACCTGACCACATCAAGCCTTGCTAAAATAAATAGCACATCATTCCTTGTGCTTAATACACTGCAAATAATTTCTCCAGTTAAATGGGTCCTGATGAGGTCTGGATTATATTTTCCTAGTGTGCTGATGCGTGTATAAATACTTAATAAACTTTATCTGAAGCCTTGCTAAAATTAAGAGGTTATGTAGGCTACTTACTTCTCCTTGATCTACCGAGTCTGTCAGGGAATAAAGGAAGGCAATTAGATTTGCCCAGGCTTGTTCCTCACAAAGCTTGCTGATTATTACTCTGTAGGTGGCTACAAGTGGGTTTTGTGATCATTTTTAAAATGTTCAAGTAAATTTTGAAAGTCTTTAATTTGCAGCCCTTCTCTTTCCTTCCCTTTCCTTGCCAGATAAAGCATGACCCCAGAGTGTTTCCTTTTCAGTCTTCAACACTTTCCTCAGTGAGAAGCAGTAGCGGACTGCTCCCTGATTTTCAGTCGGCTCTCAATAGTCATTTCTGCCCATTTACTTCTCATGGGGACGGGAATCTTCAGGGCCAGTCTATGTAAATGTTTCAGGTTAATCATTCACTTTTAATGTTCTATTCTCTCTTAGTTCCTTGCTCTCACAGCTGCTGTGGAATGTTTAGTCAGTTTAATTTTTTTATTTTTAATAAAGGCAATGTTAATGATAGCTTTTTTTTCATGCAATCATCTAATATTCTTTTGATAATGGAACATGTCTCTTTCATTTAATCTTTTCACTTGCTTTTCCTTTTTGATATTTTCAGATGTCAGGATAGTAGAAAGTATGCTGCATAATAAGGACCTGGGTTCCAGCCCCATTTCTTCCTAATCATTTAGCCTTACCCGAGTTACTCAAGCTCTCCATCCCGTTTCCTGTCTCAGAGCAGGGAGTTGCTTACAAGTTCCATTTGACCATATTCCTCTGTATTTCATATGCTTCATGTTTTCACTATTTCTTGTTTTCCTACTTTTTCTAATATTTCATGCTTTACTGCCAGAATGTACACAAACACACATATACCAAGAGTTAGGGACACTAGACATACTTCAAAACTGTGAAACTTTACAGACTTTAGAAAGATGACACAGTAGCTATAATGTGTTTTTAACACTGGAAGCAAACCCATTTACACTGATATGTCTTAAGCAAAGTGTGTGACAAGTCACATTAAGTAAGCCATATAGGGTCCAAACAGCCTTATATCTGATTAGATTTGCCTCCAGCAATGAATTTTGACTGCTTTAAAATAAAAACAAAAACTTTCTTTTTAGAACTGTTTTGATTTTGGACTCATGAATTGTAGGTGGTCATATTTTTCTATTGTTTATAGATACTTCTGATTTGTTTCCTATCTTAATGAAAGTTTTGAATTCTAGTAACTCATTTTCCTGGGTTTTTTTGCCCCCTCTCCCCCTTCGGAATTCACAGCCAGTTTTTGACTAATTTCATCCAAGACTGCTTTTCATTTAATTCTTACCCTGCTTGTCTCTTTAAGACTCAAAACCATACTATCTTCCTAAGAAATTTTGGCATCCTTTGGATAAGTCCATTATCCCTGGCATTGCTCATGAAGAACCTCAGTTGATTCAAGCCTGCCTGCTCTGTAGCCAAGTCGTAATATTAATCAGCCTTCAATTCACAATTCATTGATCCTCATTTTTTGCCTCATGTAACTTTGCTGCTATATTCAGATGATGCCACAAGATGGTGCCCAAATAGCAAGGAATTTCTCTATCTCATGTTCCCAAGTGTCAGTCAGTTTCCCAACCAACTTCCTTCCCCTTAATGTACAGTCAAGTATAATTCAGAGATTTTTGTAAGTGATTATGCTGATTTGAAGATAGGTAGAAACAGCAAGTGTTATTCCTAAACTCACCTTGATTTCTATAATTCACCAGTTCATGACTTGAATCTTATATGGAAGACTTAAATGATGTGCATTTTCTAGTATTGAGTGATTGGCTGTCAGCCATGACATTAGAACCAGTATCGTATGCATAAGAAACTATTTTTACATTATGATTCACAACGGTAACAAAATTACAGTTGTCAAGTGGCAGTGAAAATAGTGTTATAGTTGGAGATCACCACAGCATGAGGAACTGTATTAAAGGGTTGCAACATTAGGAAGGTTGAGAACCACTGCTCTAGAACATTTCTCATTCCTGAAGTGCTCTGCAAAATACTGCCACAAGTTTGCCTCCGAATTGTTTCTCATTTAACTTTCAGTAAGGAAATAATGAAACCCACGGGATGCTGCTGCCATTGAACAGTTTGGGAGATTAAAACATATTGGTGGCTCAGTGGTTAAGAGCACTGGATACTCTGCCAAGGACCTGGGTCTGAATTCTTAGCACCACATTATAGCTCAGAACCATTTGTAACTTTAGTTTCAGGGAATCAAGCATTCTCTTCTGGCTTCCAATGGCACTAGGTATGCAGGTGGTACATAGACACACAATCAGACAAATGCTTATACACACAAAAGTAAATAAAGCATTCGAATCACTACTGAAATGCTAAAAAGAAATGTTCAGTACACAAGGGATTATGGGCAGTTATTTGAAAGCACCAAATGAACCTTAAAAATAGACTTAAGCACCTACTCACAAGACTGAGTCCTGCTAGATTTTGACTTATCAGTATAGCTTTATTTCTTTTTTTTTTTTCAATCATTACTTATTATTCAGAAATCAAACAGTGGTGGTCTGGGAAAATGGTCTATTGTGTAAAGAGGCTTACTGGCTCATTGTGTTAAGACACTTGTCACTAACCCTAATGACCTGAGTTTAATCTTTAGGACCCACAAGTTGTCCTCCCACCTCCATATGTCATATGGCATGCACACAAATGAGCACTCATACACATATTATAAAATGCTGAAAAATGGGCAAGGGGCAGTTTATAATGGATATCCTAGTTTGGCTTCCTTGGTGTGATTAAAAAAAAAAAAAAAAAAAAAAACCCTACCAAAACGAACCTGGGGGAGAAAGGTTTCTTTCATCCTGTAACTCCCAGACCATAATTTATCACTGAAGGAAGTCTGGGCAAGAGCTCAGGGCAAGGCACCTGGGCGGGGCTGGAGCAGGTGCCATGGAAGAATGCTGATATGGATTTGCTTCTCATGGCTTGCTCAGGGGTGGCACTACCCACATGGTCTGAGCCCTCCTATATCAATCACTGATCTAAAACATGCCCCAAACATTTACCTACAGGGCAGTGTGAGGAGTCATTGTCTCAGTTGAGGGCCCCCCTTCCCAGATGACCTAAGCTTGTGTCAGATTCACAAGAACTAAGCAGTGCAGTTAACACGAAGCTTAGTGCTACAGTGTATATTTAACATGTGTGGAACCCGGAGTTTTATCTTCAGTATGACAAAAAGAAGGAAAGGGAAGAAAGAAAATGGGGAAAGGAGTAGAGAGAAGAAAAACAAAAGAATGAAAATGTTTTGGAGTAGTATCAATTCCATAAATCACTTGGAAAGTTAAAAAGTTCTTAACCTCTGTATTCAAGTGCCCTGAATAGGAAATCCACTTGTCTCATGGGTAAAGTTTGCCTTGTATTTGGATTAAAGGAGACTCACTAGCTGTGTGAAATATATGATTAATCGTATGATTAACATTGACCTTTATTTACAGAGAGAAAACGCTTAGAAGCCAAGCAAAGGGAAGACATCTGGGAAGGCAGAGGCCAATCTGCAGTTTGAACGTCACTTACTGAGAGGGTGAAGCCATGAATTGGGAAGTGTTTTCGGTTCCTGAGATGAGAGGACACTTCCAGAGCTGTATACATGCAGATGAGCATGTTAAAGAAAACGGGAACAAGACTGGAGGGTATAGGAGAACAAGGAGTCCTGCCCTCACTCCCACATTGCCCTCCGGTGGTGGACGTTAACAGTAATCATCCAGTGAGAAGAAAAATGGAAGAAGTGGGTTCTAAGAGTCTTCTGGGTAGAAGAGGTCAAGTTAGCATGGGTCACACTTCCAGGAAATCTAAAGCAAGTGCAAAGCGGAACAGAGGATTCAAGCCTGCAGTCATAGGAGTGGGAGACCATGTGGCAGGGTATTCCTTAGTACTTCAGAAGTTGAGAACAGTGAGGGGGTGGTGGGAAGCCGGTCACAGAGACAGAGGTGCCTGGTGTCCTTGGCAGATAGCGTCTACACTGCTGGCTCCAGAAACCTAAAGCCAGGGATGTGTGGCACGTGTCGGTATTTGGACTCCTGAGTTTGTACTAAGCTTGGTGCCTGGTACTGTGCCAGCTGCACAGCGGGCAGTGATTCCCCCCCCCCCGCCTCCACACACACACACACACACACACACACACACACACACACCTCAGTAAGCCAGTCCTAGGGAGCTGAGTACCAGCTCCAGTTTAAGCAGTAATATGTTGTGAGAGGAAGAGATTAAAGGCTATTTTATAATATAAATCATTCTGGTGTTTGTAATTTTTGCCCTCCCCCCACACACACACCTAAAACCCAACAACAACGAAAGAAAGGAAACCCGTACATGAGCTCTCTAATCTTCATGGCTCTGCTGCCATGTATGGTTTAAACGGGTGCTGTTTCATCAACCCTAGAGAATAGAGCACACCCCATCTTTTCTGCCCCAGACTGTACCCCCTAAGTGGCCGTCCTGGCATTTCTGTGTGGCAGCCTCTCTTGCCCTGACCTCTTATACATCTTTCCTCCAACCTCTTCTTTTTTCCATAGCTGTCAGCTCTGACACCCTGCAGGGCCATCTGGCACCCAGTGCGTTCTTGGTACAGTCTTAGCCTGCGCCACAGGCACTTGGCAAGCAGCACCAGACCATCCAGTACAGCGACGAGCTGCCAGGGTGGAATAAACACCTCTAGGCAGTGAGCAGTTCCCAGAAGGACACAGGCAGGTCAGAGTCACCAACGAAGTGGTCCTGTACTCAAGACATGGTAGTGCTGGGCTTTGAGCCTGAGGAGGCAGGAAGTGGAGTCACTTTGTGCTGTCATCTAGGGCAGAACCCTCTTTACGCCCATGACAATGACGGATTATTAGCTTTGTCTAGAACATGGTAGAATGGGGCTCTTCAAATATTCCTTAAATGTCTGAGTCTTGACCTGACTCTATTGCTAGTCCCGTCTTGGAGCCCTGTCACAATTCTTTAGCATTGTCTCTCACTCCAGGTTTCCCAGTGGCCCTATCCAGTGAGGGCCACCATTCCACATGTGAGAAAATACATTGTTTTCTTGATCCTCTATTTCTACTTAAGTCTTTGGCTTGTACCTGTAGGGTCCATGCTCTGTCTTCATAGAACAGACTTCTCTAATAACGGTAGTTAAGTGCCAAGGATTCTAGCATTGGCTTTTATTATTATTATTGTTATTATCATCATCATCAATATCTAGTAATAATTGATAGTAATAATTGTATTTGTGTCAGTGTTTTCCTGCATGTCTGTGAATATCTGGTAACTGTGGAGACTAGAAAAGTGTGTCAGATCTTCTGCAACTGGAATTACAGACAGATGGTCATGAATCACCATGTGGATCCAGGCATTGTATCTGGGTTCTCTGGAAGAGCCAGGTTCTTAACTGCTGAGCCACCCCTCCAGCCCCAGCATTGCTTTATACTGATGTATTTCTAAGGCACATACTTGCCATGTTAGAGAGCTGACCTACAGCTACACACGTGCTGGATAGCACTCTACCTCCGGGGTCTACTCCCAGGCTGCCTAGACAAGCAAACAACATGACTTCTCTTGTCACTTGTAGGTGAAAGTACTTCTTGTTAACTGGTTAGTGTTCTTTAAAGGCATGGTTAATGATAATGTCCAGCCCCATGTTTGCTCCCCAGTTTTTAAGTAAGTTTCATCATTTCCAAAACAATTTTTTTTCTCATTAAGTGGTCTAGGAACCTATCTTCCATCTGATGATTCAGCCATTTTTAACTCTCAGGGTTATTCTTACAATCTCAGAGAACAAATGTTTTAAATTGACATTTGAGAGTTATGGGCATTGCTGTTTTACTTCTAATTGACAATGTGCTTTTTGCTTACATTAGTCCAGTAGTTGGGGTTGCTGTGTATTGGCCAGGGGTAAGAAGTCTCGGCCATGGCCCAACACAGACTGCCCTGAGCTCGCCCATAGAGGAGCAAAGCCTTGCTTTTGTCTAAGGTGAACTCTTATCAGACTAGTCTGTCTCACAGATCAGACCTCTCTAAAATTAGGGGAGCCTCTTGATTGGTGTGGCTGCTCTACAAGAGAGTTTAGCTATTGGGTGACATCTCATGGTCTCTGCTGACCATATATGTTTTTGTGTGGTGAGCATCTAAATCTCAGGGTCATGTAAAATTTATAGTAGAAAGTTACAATGCCTGGGAATTCAAGTTTTCTCTTCATAGTGTGAAGGCCTTTGTAGCATTAGGTTAGTTTCTGAGGAGGGAGCTCCTAGCACTTCGGTTTCCCTGAGGCCACACAGGGCCAAGGTGAACGTCTTCTGAGGTTTGGAGTCTGTCTGGAATTTGGTGGTTGGTATTCTGTTAACATTCCTCGTCTAGTTCTAAGTCATGCTGGCCACCGGTCATCCTGTGTCTTTCTCTTTCAACTCAGAAGCTTAACAGCACAGCTCTTGTGTAGCTTTTTCCAGGAATGAGAGCTGGCTCCTCCTACCAGCTGTGTGATGTGGGCAGGGAGGCTGAGACCTGTGCTTCTGGTTACTGTCCACCTGGCCTGCTTTTTCTGGCCTCTTGGAAACTAGATCTAACGAGAAGCCGAGGGTAACCTCCCCTCCCTGCCCAGGTCCAGTCATCAGTCACCACTCCCACCCCACCCCCCAGCTAGCTGCACATTCTGTCACAGACCATTAGCTTCGTGTGTGAGTATAATGTTGTCACTGTTTGCTGGATCCAACCGGAAATCAGTCCTTCCCTTGTTTACCTAAACTTCTACACCAAAATAGGCTTCCTCTGCCAAATAGAGGAGATGAGGGAATGGAGGAAATGGAAAAAGGTACTTTGTATTCACAGAAGATGACCCCAAAACACGTCCCTTTTTACTATTGGGGTAGCTTGTGCATTGTGGGGAAGAAAGTACTGTAAGTCAGCTTTCTCTGCTACCATTCATTTGGTTTTGTAGCCTCGATTATAAAAGTTTACAGTCTTTGGATTGGATCTTCTCACTCCTCCTCCCTATCACCTCTCAGTCTGTCTGGCCCTAGTTTCAATGTTGGGCCTTGGGAGGGCAATTGTAAAGCAGACAAGAAACAGGCTGGGGTGGGCTGTCCCAAGGAGTGTGTTCTGTGCATTCTCGTGCAGCTCTGGAGGGAAGATGGCTGAGTGCCGTGCACTGGAAGCTACAGGAGCACAGCTGGCCTGTCTTTGTAGCAGTCCACCATGAGCAAACTTTATTGGCATCATAAAGACCTAGAAGGATCATCTGTGTGCATGCCAATGGAGAAAAGACCAGGCATGCATGCCCAAGGAAATCCTGGGGTCTTACACCACCTGAGCAATGGAGCACAGACACCTCCACACGTGGACTGTGGCCTTTCCATTTCCCAGGCTCGGTCCTCGACTCAATTAAGTGTTCTCACTTCTGGTTTCCCCAGGCTTCTTTTCCTAGCTCTCCCAGACCTGTTTCAGTGTTCCTACAGCATGGCTTGATTGGCCAGTTTCTTACCAATTGCAAACGTTTGTTTAAAATGAAGTGGCCTTGGTTCAATCTGAAACTTAGGCTAACCCTGACATGCAGGTGCTCCCAAAAGAGACTGGACTGCCTGCCAGATGTGGGACTACTCTTGTCTCCTTTGGCAGAGGTCCTGACAGACTGGGTTTATGTGACCATAGCTGTCTCTGATCTCTTGTGGCTCTGTGGGAAAGGCCCTCCCTGTCTGGCCACTTCTGTGAAACTTGCCTCCCGCCCCAGCCCCAGGAATTGGGGATATTGACCCATCAGGAATGGAGGGAGGGCCTGAGGGTACAGGGGTATTAGAAACACTCCTGTGTGTGACACAATGAAAGAGAGGCTTCAGAGCGTGGGGTGTGAGTTCTAAGGGGATAAGGTGAGGGACTGCATTCACCAACTCCTCTGCCAGGTATGACTTTGACACGGCTGTTTTGCACAGAGCTCGTAACAAAGAACTGACTCCACTTCTTAAGTTCTTTGGTCATCATCTGTCCTCTGCTCCTCCAAGACATTTGCAAAGCACCACTTAGATGGAGGTTTTGGCCACAGTTCGTCCCTAGTGAACTTAGAGCTCCTGAAACTGGGAACTGTATATCAAGTTTTAAGATAGATTGGGTCTCCTTAAGGAAGAGAAGGCTTAGCTGGCCAGAGCTTTAAGGCCATGCTGTATAGGCCATAGGCACTTGGAAGAGACCCAGAGCCATCCTGAGACTGCTGCCATCCAGGGTGGTGACCTGGCCATCAAAAGGCTTCCTGAGCAGGTTCTTGGTGCTCCTTGTCACTGGCCCCTCCTATGACAAGGGCTCTGTGAAGGGCATGGCTCCAGTAAGCTGAGGTATCTGGTGTGTGAGCGGAGCTGGGAGTGTGCAGTAATGGCTTTAGATCAGGTTGTTCCTGAGCCGCTGTTCCTGCTCCAGGGAGAGCTCCGCATTGGGTCGGTAGGAATCTCCTGTGGGCCAAAGGAAAATAGCTTAAGTAGCCAAACCCACCACAGCCCCTTTCCATCAGGGCAGTTCCAGGCACAGACACAGTCAGTCTATTGAGTGGAAAGTCTGTGCTAGATCTTTGCTCCTTCTCCAGGTTCATTCTGTTCCCTGGGGACTGGCCACCCTACTTGCCTTGGCTTCTGGTTTCTACCTGGTAACTCAACAGCAACAGGAGGTTGGGAGTGGAAGGAGAGGCCAGTCATGTCCCCTGCTTTGGCTCTGCAGTGGCAGGAACCATCTGTGAATGCAGCTCCAACCAGCTTCACCCTCCTCCAGTCACCTGGCACCCAGATGCCCCTTCCCCCAGCAAGCTTACAGAGGGAAGCAGTTTTCCGTTCCTTTATTTCTGGGCTCAGTGTTACTTGTTTCCTAGGCCTCACGGGAGCTTTTGTCTTATGACTTGTGTAAAGACACTGGTGGGCTCTACCTTCTGGCATTGTCTTTCTGTTCTTCATCAGTCACCCAGATAGGAAGCTTAGATGCTCCTTCTCATTCACCCCCGTTCCTTGGCAGAGTAACTTTTAGAACAAATGATGCTAGGGATGTAGCTCAGTGATAGGGTGCCTGCCTAGCCGGTGGAAGGCCTGCCTAGTACCACACAAGAAATTTAAATTTAAAAAAAAAAAAATGCCTTCAGT